GTATTTAGGGCAGCTGGACACTGAACCACAGGTATGTAGCACAGGGACAGAGCACTGTGCATGGTGACTCAGAGCTAGGCAGTGATAGCCACCATCAGATCTGTGCTCTTAACCATTGGGAGCAGAAAGGCTTGGACTTGGAGTGGGAGCAGGACTGTGTGGACAGGGTCTTCAAGGCAGGAGGGCTTTGTGACACTGAGGCTGGATCAGCCCTTTAACTTCATCTGGTCAGGGCAGAGTTTTGCAGAGTGTGTGCCTTGTTCACTCTTCAGCCTTTTCACTGGCTGCCTCACTGAGACTGATCTACCCATACACCTATGGGTTCATTAGCGTTTGCAGACTTCTGGGCCAGTTAAGGTCTACTAGAACTCTGCCTGAGTGTGTGCTACTGTGTCTCTGCTGTTTTGGTCATACTCTGAGCTGTGGAGCTATAAAGATGAACAGGGAGCTGGGTTTCCAAACAGAAAAGGTGAGTCCATTTGGTCAGTGCTGGGCCCTGTAGGCAGCCTCCTCTGTGTAGCCCCAGTAGGGGGTAGGCCATGACCAGAGTCCCCAGCCCTGGAGCCTGGACTTAGGCAGCTGACCTTTATCTCTGATGAGTGGGGAGGGACTGACGTAGGCAGGAGGGCTCTCCATCCTTGTTTGGGGGTTCAGGAGGACAGGTGTGGGGAGGACACGTGTCCAGCCAGCACCCACATGGTTGTGAAGGAATTAGTTCTCCCTGGGACACATGGCACTTTATGTCTTCAGGATGCTCTTCCTGAATAGTCACTGAGGGACTCTGACCCTGTGCTGTATCCGCCTCACTTTTGAAAAATGTCAACGTTTTGGAATTACCAAATCCTTTTTCTACCCAGGCCATGGATGATTTAAAAAGCATCCACTGGTTTCTGACAGTGAGTGGCTGTGAGGGCCCCACTTCTTGGGCGGATGCACACAGGAGGCCCTGCTGCGGGAGGCTGCATCAGGTCTGTGGTAGCATTTTGAAGGCCTCCTTCATCGAGGGGGTCACGTGGAGTCCTGAAGGTGCTGATTTGCCTGGCTTTTGAGATACTGCTTATCCAGGGAGCTTGGCGGGGGGCTCCTGGCCCTCCTTTGCCCTCCTTGTCCCTTGGGTGGTCCCCAGTGCTCGTGCCTGTCTGGAGCCTCATGGGTGCTACACCTCATTGGTGACTTCAGTAGGGAAGGGAAAGGGTGTTTTTTTAATTTGGTCATTTGTTCTGCATCTGCTAACTGGGTCTCTTGTTAAAGGTAAGCTTCGGGTCAGCCAGAGCTGCCCAGCTGTCCTTAAACAGTTCATAGATAAAGGAAAAATGCTGGTCCCTTATTTTCCAGTAATACAGGAAAAAGCTGGCTTTCTTGGGGTATATGTTGGCTTTCTCTTTCAAGTGTTACTGCACATACATGGTTTTCAAGCCTGTGTAAGCCAGCAATGCATGTGCCTGGGCATCCTCACAGGGCAGAACCCGAGTCGGTGGGCACGCTCCCCAGCGGGGTCCCTGCTCTGCATTCCAAGGCCAGGCTCCACTTGTATGCAAATCTAGCACTCCTACATGAGGCTGTGGCCACCAGACGGTGACCTCACTGGCCTCTCGGCTATTACTTCATCTAATGGTAGCATGGCTACTCCATTTCTCCTTTTAGAAAATATTTGACTGGTGGGTTGTTTTTTTTTCATTCTTTGACTTAGTGTATTTAGTGTATTTAGTGTTTATGTTTAAGATAGATCCACCCATAGCAGCATACAGCTGTATTAAAAGTCAAATCTTAGAAGTGCACGTTTCCAGTGAAACGTATCACACGGCTGTTTCACTGTAGGCGTCAGTACGCGCACACACTTAGCATTTGGGTGCTTCTGTTTGCCCTTCACATTTCTTTTCCCTCTTGATTTATTTTTGTTTTATTTTATGTACTTATTTGGTTTTTTGAGACAGGGTCTCCCTGTAGCCCCAGCTGGCCTGGAACTCACTGTGTAGACCAGGCTGGCCTCAAACTCACAGAGATCTGCCTGCCTCTGCCTCCCGAGTGCTGGGATTAAAGGTGTGAGCCATCATACCTGGCCTCTTTCTTGATTTACTAAGCACAGGTATTTTTTAAAAAAATTCAGGAGTAGTAAACACTAGCTTGGGAACTGCGTGATGTTTCTGTTCCCTTGGGGGTCACTGGAGGAACTGTAACGTGCAGTATCACAAATCTGAAGTTAGTCATCACCTCTCCCCCATCTGTGCAGAGCCGTAGGTAGGCAGTGCCTCTTGGGCTGTCCCCGAGTGGCAGCTCCTGCTCTCCTCTGAGCAGCAGCATTACTGTGTAGTCCTGCTTGTTCTGACTTGCTCTTCCCTGGGTCTTTCTGTCAGGACCCTTTGTCTTTGCTTCAAGGTCCTCTTAAGAGTTAGGCAGAGTGGTGCACACCTTTAATCCCAGAATTTGGGAGACAGAGGCAGGTAGATCTCTGTGAGATTGAGGCCAGCCTGGTCTACATGGGGAGTTCTAGGCCAGCTGGGGCTACAGGGAGACGCTGTCTCCAAAACCAAACCAAACCAAAACATGCCAGACCTCAAGTTCCTCTTTAGAATCCGTCACTGTGCTCCTGAGGGTGGTGTGGGGTTGGGGTGGGCAGTGGCTCCTCAGCCCCCTGCTGTCTCCAGTCACTACTTCTTCCACTCCATATAGTGTAAGTCACAGGGGACTTTTAAGTACAGTTTCCTTTATCTAGCTGAAGGCCAATAGCCGTTTGCAGAACTGTTCGCGGGGCTCATTCTAGGACAGGTCAGGTTTACACATGGCAAGGGCACTAGGCCTGGCGTGTGGGAAGTGCTGTGATCTAGTGAACTGCTAGGTTCTCAGGAATTATTTTTCTTTTCGCAAAAAACTTGGCTGTCCCTGATAGATCTGTGCCATTTTTGCTCTGACGCCGGAGAGACGGTGGAGCTGGTGCAGGTTGTTTATGTGGTTGCTACAGCGCAGCTGATCTTGTGTGGCGATCCCCATGAGCTCTGACTCTGGAAGGCAGCCCCAGCCTTGACAGTTCCCTCTTGCTCCCTCTGGCCTCACTGAGGCCTTGACTTCATACCCCCTTCCTCGCTGACAGTGACTATGTCCCTGTCGTTTTTCCTGAACTCTACACCAGCGGCTTCTTGCCTTCCCCTGCAGTGTCCTGGATATGCAGGCAGGCAGATCCCCTATGTTGGTCAGATCAAAAGCCTTTGAACAACCTTATCTTTCATTTGTGGAGAAATCTTGTGGGCTCTGCCTTAGGTCACAAGAACCTGTCTCACAGGCTCCCTTGCTCACTCATTGTTCTGCCTGTTCCCACCTCTCCCTGCTCCACCCAGAGCCGAGGTGAGGCCCCATGTACTCTCCTCCCTCCTGCTGAGCCTTTTCTTTGGTCAGGGACCCAGAGTTCTGGGTTTTCTTTGCATTGTATTAGGGACACAGGAATACCCCATTTCTTTGGGTGACTATGAGTCTGTGCCCCAAGGAGTCTCCTGGCTGTTCCTTTTTCCCAGGCTACAAGCATGAGCACACCTGAGCTCATACGGCTGCGTTCACACTCGTGGTCTTCTGTGGGACTCCTGCCTGGAAGTGAGATTGCTGAGCCTTAACCCAAGTGGCTAAATTAGCTGTTAGTGTCAGACACAGCACGCGTGTTCATCTTGTAAGTTGAAGGAAAACTATTTTTAAAAATCCACTATGTGTCTGTCACCAGATTAATCTTTTCTTTCAAGTCCTACGTCTTTGAGCTGGGATAAAACATTTTCATGTGGCCAATCCTTGCTTCCACCATAATACTGCAAAAATACATTTTAGGGTTAGCACTGCATTTTAAAGCTTCATTAAAAACATCCATTTACTGGTTTTCCAGTGCAGTCATTGATGTTACAGGATTGTGCCAGCATCTGGACTGGCCCATGGCTCCCGAGGCACAGACTCACTAACGGTGGTTTCCTCAGGGGTAGAGTGAGGTAGTCTCTAGCAGGGACTGCAGGAAGCTTGTCTTTGGCTGCCCAGGACAGTGTGTGCGGGTTGCATAACCAGCTTGTTTGTTGTCTGGTTCCGGCTGAAGTCTTTCCCCTCCCTCGCCCCCTTTGGGTTAAGGTGAAACTTAGTTTCTGACTTGGGAATAATTTTATATTTGAGGAAGAGCCGCAGAGATGCTTGCCCACATCGCTCACTTAGTTTCTGTCATTGCCCTAATTGTCACAGATGACTGTCACCTCCATGAAGCTGGCATTGGTCCATGCTCCAGATTCCGCCGCCTCCTGTCGTTGCTGTGGCCTCCCTGTGCCTTGCCTAACCCTGCCATCTCTTGGGCTTCCCTCGTTGTTTAGGTCTCTGCTGGTTGGAGGCGGTACATCGCTCAGGGTTTTGTGACATGCCTCTGGCTTGATGGGTCACTTGGCCAAGGAAGTGTGGACTGGCTTTCTTTTTTTTAATCTCCCTTTCAGTAACACTTAAACCCGTGTTGTTAGAAAACTCTCCTTTCCTGTATTTTTCTTTGTAAATTCTTTATTGAATTTTTGTGTATTTCATACAGAACATCTTAATCATCTTTACATTCCCTGCCCCATTGGCCTGCTCATATCTCTCCCCACTGAACTTCATACATTCTGTCATTTGTGTTAAGGCCTATTGTATCAAGGGAAGTGCCCCAGACGTCCCTCAGTGCAAGTTCATCCATTGAGGTCTAGTCAGCCTAACTAGACTCCCTCTCTTTAAGATCAGCTCTTATTTTTATGGTTAAATTCTTACTGAAAAAAATAGCATATTTGAATTTGATCTTTTTGGGTAAGGTTACTGGGGATTAACCCTAAGGCCTTGTACATGCTAGGCAAGTCAGGCAAATGCTCTGTCTAGCACAGCTCACTCTCTCCAGCCACCTGTGATCTTTTGGTGTGTTTTCTACCCTCCTTATTAAAAAGCAATCCTGTTCTCTTTACTGAATGCCTGGAAGAGCAGACTTAAGGAACCTCAGTGCCTGGAGGTTCCATTCCCAAGCAGTGGGCGGCCCCAGACAATGTCCTCTTCGTGGCCTTCTCTGACTTCACACCTGCAGCAGCCCCTGTGACCACCCATGCCCTAACCTGTCACTGATTGCTGCCGGCCCAGGAGATACCCCAGTGCCCTGCTGCAGCCCTGGAGCTATATAGTACATGGCCTGCAGCAGGCCGACGTTCCTCCAACGAGAATCTGGCCAGGGTAGGTTAATCCCAAGAACCTGGTTGAGGCAAGTCTGTTTATGTGTAACAATCCATTTATGATGCATAGACAGAGCTGATCACACAGCCTGGAGGTGAAGCCTCCATGCTCCCTGAAGACCAGCACGGGTGTGGGGCTAGGACCTCCTCTGGAAGGGAACCAGTGTTTCCTGTATGCCACTGGCACCCGTGTTTGGCATTTCAGGCCATCGTTCTCTCCGTGCTCTCCCTGGACTCTGACAGTCCATGTGATGTAACTTGGGAAAGGCTGTCCCAGAGAGGCTGTGGGCATCTGGGAGCTGCAGCTCTCTCCTGGCAACTGTGGGCCTCACCAGCTCAGCTACTATCTAGGAAGTTTCTGCCTGTGAGGGCTGGACTCCCTCCTGGCCTTGGACTGCTTGGTGGTAACTGGCCATGCGCATGTCCATCACACACAGTGCAGTGTTGGGACCGCAAGTGGGATGTGTTTCCAAGTTAGAGGAAAATGTGGGAACATCGGGTCAGCTGCTCAGGGGTGACTTGCGGCCCTGGGCCATGTCCTTTGTTGGTTCTGAAGTTCTGACTGGTGGTATTCTCTGGAAGCATGGAAACGGGAGATGTGAAGAGCTAGAAACTCCCAGTTATCCAGGGACCTGTATTTGTTTTTTAGAGACGGGTCTTGCAGAGGCTCAAGCTGGCCTGAAACTCACTATGTAGCCCACGTTGGTCTTGAACTCATTAGTTGTCCTGACTCAGTCTTCCAGGTGCTGGAATTGCAGGTATGAGTCACGCCTGACTTTTCCAGGGACCTTTGAGAAGAAGACCTAGAGCCTTTAGAAGTGGGTGCTGGGAGCTGAAAAACCTACAGAAACTGGGAGTCCACCAGCCGCATGTCTGCAGGAGCCCCCAGCCTGCTGGGTTGGGCACCTGGCATAAACAGTGGAGCTGGCCAGGATGGCACAGCACCCAGGCACCCGGTGGTCCCAGCAGCAGCTCAGTAAACTCACATTGCCACAGCTCTCATGTGTGGCACTGGTGCTTCCTGGAAGGCGTATGGTGGCCTGTGGGGCCGTGCATGGTGGCCCACCTTGGGCAGTGTGGGCTTCTTTTTGGTAGCTCAGGCCTCTCTTGTGGGTTTTCCAGCTTGCAGAACTTCATCTGTTGCTTAACTGTGAACATTTCCTCTGGGCAACCTCCAGACCTGTACCCTGTGGACAAAGGGCACTCCTGCCTTCCATTGGGCTGGTCCAGTTGAGGTTGTAGGCCACGTGCTTCCAGGGCCACGCTCACTGGCCCCTGGGCTCTTCACTGTCTCATCCTGGGCCCAGGGAGTTGTGGTTTCTACCTGGTGCTTCTTTGTTGGGAAGCACCAGATGCCCTGGTTGAGTGTGTGTCCCTGGGGTCCCCCTCTGTGGCGAGTCCCTGGGGTCTCTGGGATATGTGCCTTGGGCAGGGCCACTTTAGGGGTCTCCGCTAACCATTGCTTTGGTCTTTTCCTTTTTCTTGGAAAACTTTGTTTTCTCCAAGCCCTTCAGGTTTTGGGGAACATCCTCTAGTTGAGTCGGTGAACTTATGGCAGGTGGTGAGTCTTTTGGATCTGTTTGCTGCTTTTCTTCCTTGTGCTCTTAGTTTTGAGCTGTTTCGCGTGGATGTCAGAGGTTTCCTAACTTTAGGGCTGTGTTCTAATTGCACCTTGTTGGTTTGACCCCGTGCGGTGCTACTCGCAGGCCTCGCTCCTGGTGCTGTGGGGAGAACGGACTGTGGACACCAAAGATCCTAGCGAGCCTTTTTGTGGGTGAGATCCCATTTTCAGAACTGAGACGTGTTCTGAGCCTTCCAAGGGCTCTTGCTTGCCTTTGAGCTGCTCCTGAATGAGAAGACATTTGCAGGGAGGGCCCAGGTGTGAGGGCAGATGAGGGGACCAAGGCTTGATGAGAGGTGGGCTGGGCCTGGGAGCCTTTGTTCCAACAAGCAGGGCCGTGTCCAGGGTTGTTCGGCTCCCGCTCTGACTCCACCCTCTTCTCTCCTTGCCTGAAGGTGTACATTGGTGAGCTCCCGCAGGATTTTCTCCGCATCACACCCACACAGCAGCAACAGCAGATCCAGCTGGACGCCCAGGCAGCCCAGCAGCTGCAGTATGGAGGAGCAGTGGGCACCGTGGGCCGCCTCAGTATCACCGTGGTGCAGGTGAAAGCTGATGGAGCTTGGGAGGAGAGGAGATGGGGCCATGCTCCAGTGCAGGAGTAGGGATTTCCACCCTTGCACCCCGTTTCCCATCTGAACGAATACAATGTTTATGATTCCAGTTAGTCCTGAAACTTGTCTGATGATTATCTGGTGGTGATTTCCCAGAAACCCGCCCAAAGTACTTGTAATCAGTGTTAGCCCATGCCAGGCACTGTTTCTTCACAAGGATGGGTTTCTCTGGCCCTCATAGTAGACGGGGTGTCTGGTGTACGCCAGCACGTCAGATGGGCGTGCTACCTGGCGGGGCCCAGCCGCCCTGCAGACCGTGGCTCCCACTCAGCCTCAGCTCCATACCAAGGGCTGGGATGTTCACACAGGTATGTCAGGGGACTTCCATGTAACATGTAAAGCATGGTGTCAGATTGAACGTCTTGTCTCAGTTGCACACTATCAAATGTGATCAAGTGATTGTTCTCAGAGTTGAGCGATTCCATCAGTGACTGGTGCCATGTCCTGGAGCACAGGCACCGACAACGTTAGGTGAAGTGAATGGCTGTTTTTGCATGCCCTGGTAAATACCAGCGAGGGGTCTGTGGAGGCAGGCAGTTAGATAAGCGCTTACCTTTCCCTTTGATAGTTGATGCCTCATTTTTCAGAATTTGCTGTTATTTCAGGCAAAATTGGCAAAGAATTACGGCATGACTCGCATGGACCCCTATTGCCGCCTGCGTCTGGGCTACGCTGTTTATGAAACACCCACAGCCCACAATGGCGCCAAGAACCCTCGCTGGAACAAGGTCATCCAGTGCACAGTGCCCCCAGGTGTGGACTCGTTCTACCTCGAGATCTTCGATGAGGTGAGGGTCACCCCAGAGTCACAGGTCTGCCAGGTGTGGAATCAGACAGGTGCTGTGTGCTTGCAGGTGTAAGGTCCTTTGCTGGTGCTCAGGCCTGTGCACTTGGCATTTGAAGGCTGAATGACACACAGTGTAGCCTGCCTGGACACTTGGCCTTTAGTGGCTACATGACAGGGTGTGGTTTTCTGCTCTCTCAGGTCCTTTGACAGTGTCCGTTTGGAAATCCACCAGTGACACTGGTGTGGACAGAGTGTGGAGTGTGTCCCCGTAGCTGTTCACAGGTTACGTTTCAAACAAGTCAAGCTCTATGGCTAGTGGGAGCCTTGTCCTTGCTGGCACAGTCACAGGCCCACCAGAGTGAGGTGTACCGTTTTCCGAGAGGCAGTCAGGAAGCTCTGCTGGCTTCAGGTCGTTCTTAGAAGCTTGGTTCTAGGGACCATGTGCTTCCCCACACGAGAGCAAAGGACTGTGGGAAAACAGGGTGGGCGAGAGCCAGAGAGGATTTGGGCCTGGGCGACCCAGCCCGGAGGGCGTAGCCTCCCCCATCCTGTCCCCACCTCTTCCTTCCCGTTTCCACTTTCTCTGTCTTCCCCGCTTTGATTCTCAGAGTAGTAGGAATGCAGGGAAGAAGGCCTGGGGCTCTGGGTGGCCTGGAGCTCTTATCCTTATCTGGGCCCTGGGCCTGGGACTTGTAGTTTGTGCTGGTGGATTGGGAGTAGGGGTGCAGGACTGGGGAGGACAGTGTCCTCCAGTGTCTTCCTTTCCTGTACTTTTGTCTAGCCACCTCCCATGGCATTCACTCAGAAGTGGTGGTGGATCACAGGCAGTCCATGGAGGGCTGGGATCTTGGTTTAGTGGGAAGCTCCTTGAAGAAGGCCAGAGCAGTGAAGAGGGACACTGTCCTGCTGAGGAGACAGCAGGTAGCTGCAGGGGACAGTCCAGGTGGAGATAGCTATGGGGAAGGCTTGTCTCTGTGACGTGTGTCACTGTGGGCCAGGATGAAGTTGTCTCCCTCTCGTCCTCCTCAGCGAGCCTTCTCCATGGATGACCGCATTGCCTGGACCCACATCACCATTCCCGAGTCCCTGAAGCAGGGCCAGGTGGAAGATGAGTGGTACAGCCTGAGTGGGAGGCAGGGTGACGACAAGGAGGGCATGATCAACCTGGTCATGTCCTACACGGTGAGTCCCACTGCCTGGCCGTGGTGGTTGTGGCTGTGGTCGTGGAGGCGGGGTATCTATGCGAACATCAGGGGCAGCTTCGGGGTCACTGCCCTCAGGGTCATGGAGCAGAGGCATGGCTGTGTTGGGCAGTACATCCGGTGTAGGGGACCTCTTGGCTCCCACCCACGCACCTCTTTAAGGCAGCTGAGGCTCCCAGAGACGTCGGGGGACCCTGGGATGCCCTGTCTTTTTTACATTCCAGGCCTTTTCGTTACTGAGTCTGTGCGAGCAGAGGGGGGTGGGAGGTGCCCTGTGTGGGCCTTCTCAGCATGACTCCCCACGTGTCTCTCTGCTTCCCGTGATCAGCAGTGCAAGACAGTTTGTTTTACTGCATTACTCGCTCACCTGCAGTTCACCGATCTTTGGGAGAAGCTACTGGTGCTGCAGTCTCTCCCAAAACAGACTGGAACGTGCCTTCAGGGCTTGTTCTTTTTGTTTGTGGTTGTGAGTGTGTGTTTGTTTCTTTGTGTGTGTGTGTGTGTGTGTGTGTGTGAGCCAGAGGTCAACGTCATTGACTTCTAATCACTCTTCACCTTAGTTTTTGAGACAGCCTCAGTGAGGCTGGAGCTCATCAATTCCACTAGGCCAGTGAGCCTCAGGGATCTGCCTGTCTGCCTTCCCAGCCCTGGGATTACAGATAGGTACCACCACGCCTGACTTTTTATGTGGCTACTAGGAATTAAACACAGTCCTCACTACACAGCAAGCCCTTTACTGATTCAGCTGTCTCCCTCCCAGTCATGTTCTCTTGATCACATTGCAGTAGCTGCAGTTTGTGAGTCTGCAGCATGTCTTAGCCCAAGTCTTCCAGCTGAGGGGAGATGGCCAGGACAGCCTCCGTGACTGGAACGAGATTGCTGGAACAGCATGGTCCTCCCTGACCTGTTCGTCTTTGTGTTTCAGACACTGCCAGCTGCCATGATGATGCCTCCCCAGCCTGTGGTCCTGATGCCAACCGTGTACCAGCAAGGTGTCGGCTATGTGCCCATTGCAGGTGTGTGCCACTTCTCCAGTAGGCAGCCCCAGGTCAGAGTGGGTCTGGAGGAAGGAGCCTCCAGCATTCCCCGGGGAACTTGGCCAGTGTAGAATTATGTGCAGAGCGTGACTGCACAGGATTTTTCTAAAGCTGAGTCCAGTGTTGTGTTTGAGTTGTTTATGCGTGTGTAGTCTCCCTAGTTGCTGACACATGGAAGGTGAGCCTGTGAATGTTTTCATGTTATGTCTGAGTCACTGGAATGAGGCATGTTCTTTAAAATTGTGTCTCCCACTATAGTCCTCACCCATGTAGATGAGCATGGGAGGCACCTCTGACTGTGAAGTCAGGAAGTGGCTTTTTAGTTTCCAATCTTCTGTGGCCATCACAGTTCCCGAGTCCCATTTGGCCATCCTAGAAGAAGAGCTGTAGAACAGAGCCAGGTGAACGACCACAGCTGCCTCCTGACTTCACAGTAGGAAGACTGTGACCTTGAGGGTAGAGACACCAAGGCTGGCCTGTGGTCCCTCCCGTCTCTGCCAGGGTCGGGGGCTGGAGTCCAGTCAAAGCCTGGCAGTCCTGCTGCCTCAAGGAGGGGGAAGTCAAAGGCTGGGGTGGTTTAGATGGCCAGGTCTGTGGGGCAAGAGGGAATTCAAGGTCCTGGGATGTATCCCAACTCACATGGTCCCTAACAGCTAGTGTGCAGGGTGGGTGCTACCCCAGGGGTGGGACAGAGCAGAGGTATGGGGCCTAGCAGTTTGGGGTGGTTAAAGGACCCACTTAGAATGGAGTGACTCATTAGCAGTGCAGCCCCCACCCCAACTGAGACATGGAAAGACAGCACAGGACTCAGGAATGAGATCCTCCCCCACACAGCCTGGAAATAGCTCTGGCAGGTCAACCTCAGCTCTTCCCATGACTAGTCTGCATGAAGGAACAAAGAACAGCCCTCTGCCGAGGAGGAGGGCCAGCCCACAGGCCCTCAGGCCCCTGTGGTATTGGGAAAGGAGTAGGATGTCACCAGGCTAGCCGAGACCCAGAGGCTGAATGGCTAAGCCAGTTAGAGGGGGAGTGGCCCAGGATCTTAAAGCAGTGTAGTTGCTCAAGTGGAGAGCTTAGCAGTCTGAGAGTGGGGTGTCAGCAGAGACCTGGGTGCTCTCCAGAGACCCCCAGGTCTAGGGATTTGGGTCCTGGAGCTGCCCCCTGGCTTCTGGTTTGCCGCTGGAGTCTCAGGAGTGTTCTGTCTAGTGCATCCCTGCGTATTTGCGTGCTGTTTGTCACTGCACAACCCTGCACTGGAGGTTGAGGAGGGGCACAGGTGGAATGTAGTGGTGGGTGCCCTAGCACTGCAGAGGCAGAGAGTCACAGTGGGGCCATGCCGCAGAAACCTGTTCTTGGTGTTTGAGGCCAGAAATCCAAAATAAGGCATGTCAGGACTACGATCCCTTCTGGGGCTCTTGGGAAGAGCCTGCCCGCCTTTTCCAGTCCTTGGCTTGTGGCCACGTCTCCCAGTCTGTCTCCATGTTCTTACGGTCGGCCCCCTCTTTGTGTGCTTCTGTCCTGTCCTGTCACTAGGCGTGGGACCCCTTTGCTCCTTGGTGCTCTCTAAAGCCCATCTGCAGGCTCCAGGGTCACGGCTTGACATATCTTTTGGGGAGACAGAGTCTGTCTAGTTGCCAACACCAGAATAACTTCCAAGTGAGAGTGTTGTTGCCAGTGTGTCCACTCTGCCCCCTTCCTGCCTTCTCTGTGAATGCCTCTAACCTTTGCTCTATATGTGTATTTTGGGAAAGGCGTCTTTGGAACCTTGGCTTTTGACATGCACTTTGAATGTTAGACACAGTGTGCTACTGACAGAAAAGCTGCCACAGAAAAGGATTTCTAGAACCTTTGGAGACTGGCCGCTGAGGACTGCTCCAACCCCACCCAGGTGTGTCATTTCCTGGACATGAGGACACCTTCCTGCTGTACAGGGCCACATCCATATAGGGACCTGCTGCAGGGCAGCAGCCAGACTGGCCCCTACTTGCTCTTATGAAAGGGCTCAGGCCAGGGCCTGGTAGGGCCAGGCCTTCACAGAGCCTGTGGCAGGCTCTGCAGTTGGTGGTTCTGCCTTGTGTACTGTCGGCCCGGTGGGCCCAGGTGCTGCACTGGGAAGCCACTCTCCCCGCTTATTGCTGCTCTCATCACAGTGTCTGGTGGGAGGCAACGTTGTGTCCCTCAGTCCTCGAAAACCCCCTTGGTGTCTGCTGCAGGCTCAGCATTCAAGGTCACGGTTGCTGTCTGTTTCTTGTCACTGAGCTGTCCACTGATAGTGGTAGTGGTGTGGGCTTGAAGTCTGTCTACTTTCTGGGATATGATTTGTTACTCTCTTGTGATCTTTTGATGACCTGCATTCTTTGCAAACTTCCTGACGTTGGCCCAAGATAGCTTCTGGCGGTCTTGTGCGTCTCCTTCCTCCGTCCTAGAATTACCCACTTCTTCCTAAGCTCTGACTTCTACTAGGGGGGAATCAGTTCTAGAAAGTCCTCAAACTGTTCTTAAAATTACTGGGAGGGCCAGTGAGGATGCTGCTTTGCTGAAAGCTGATGCCTAGTTTCCCTTTGATTCTTAGAATTCCTGAATGTTTGTGATGACAGAGCCATGTTTCCAAAGCGCCTGGAAACTGGCCGACAGAGTGTTGTCTTGTGTCATGACTGACAGAGGCTGCCTTCCATCTTCCTTGGGCCCTCAGGGCCTCAGGCAATGGGACTGGAGCAGGGACTTCACAGACGCCATCTCTCAGCACATTTTCTAATAGTGACCTCACAGACGCTGTCTCTCAGCACATTTTCTAATAGTGACCTCACAGACACTGTCTCTCCGCACATTTTCTAACGGAGACCTCACAGACGCTGTCTCTCAGCACATATTCTAATAGTGACCTCACAGACACTGTCTCTCCGCACATTTTCTAACGGAGACCTCACAGACGCTGTCTCTCAGCACATATTCTAATAGTGACCTCACAGACACTGTCTCTCCGCACATTTTCTAACGGAGACCTCACAGACGCTGTCTCTCAGCACATATTCTAATAGTGACCTCACAGACACTGTCTCTCCGCACATTTTCTAACGGAGACCTCACAGACGCTGTCTCTCAGCACATATTCTAATAGTGACCTCACAGACACTGTCTCTCCGCACATTTTCTAACGGAGACCTCACAGACGCTGTCTCTCAGCACATATTCTAATAGTGACCTCACAGACACTGTCTCTCCGCACATTTTCTAACGGAGACCTCACAGACGCTGTCTCTCAGCACATATTCTAATAGTGACCTCACAGACACTGTCTCTCCGCACATTTTCTAACGGAGACCTCACAGACGCTGTCTCTCAGCACATATTCTAATAGTGACCTCACAGACACTGTCTCTCCGCACATTTTCTAACGGAGACCTCACAGACGCTGTCTCTCAGCACATATTCTAATAGTGACCTCACAGACACTGTCTCTCCGCACATTTTCTAACGGAGACCTCACAGACGCTGTCTCTCAGCACATATTCTAATAGTGACCTCACAGACACTGTCTCTCCGCACATTTTCTAACGGAGACCTCACAGACGCTGTCTCTCAGCACATATTCTAATAGTGACCTCACAGACACTGTCTCTCCGCACATTTTCTAACGGAGACCTCACAGACGCTGTCTCTCAGCACATATTCTAATAGTGACCTCACAGACACTGTCTCTCCGCACATTTTCTAACGGAGACCTCACAGACGCTGTCTCTCAGCACATATTCTAATAGTGACCTCACAGACACTGTCTCTCCGCACATTTTCTAACGGAGACCTCACAGACGCTGTCTCTCAGCACATATTCTAATAGTGACCTCACAGACACTGTCTCTCCGCACATTTTCTAACGGAGACCTCACAGACGCTGTCTCTCAGCACATATTCTAATAGTGACCTCACAGACACTGTCTCTCCGCACATTTTCTAACGGAGACCTCACAGACGCTGTCTCTCAGCACATATTCTAATAGTGACCTCACAGACACTGTCTCTCCGCACATTTTCTAACGGAGACCTCACAGACGCTGTCTCTCAGCACATATTCTAATAGTGACCTCACAGACACTGTCTCTCCGCACATTTTCTAACGGAGACCTCACAGACGCTGTCTCTCAGCACATATTCTAATAGTGACCTCACAGACACTGTCTCTCCGCACATTTTCTAACGGAGACCTCACAGACGCTGTCTCTCAGCACATATTCTAATAGTGACCTCACAGACACTGTCTCTCCGCACATTTTCTAACGGTGACCTCACAGACGCTGTCTCTCAGCACATTTTCTAATAGTGACCTCACAGACGCCGTCTCTCAGCACATTTTCTAACGGTGACCTCACAGACGCCGTCTCTCAGCGCATTTTCTAATAGTGACCCACAGACACTGTCTCTCAGAGCACATTTTCTAATGTGACCTCACAGACGCCCTCTCAGAGCACATTTTCTAATAGTGACCTCACAGACGCCGTCTCTCAGAGCACATTTTCTAATAGTGACCTCACAGACGCCGTCTCTCAGAGCACATTTTCTAATAGTGACCTCACAGATGCTGTCTCTCAGCACATTTTCTAACGGTGACCTCGCAGATGCTGTCTCTCAGCACATTTTCTAATAGTGACCTCGCAGATGCTGTCTCTCAGCGCATTTTCTAACGGTGACCTCACAGACGCTGTCTCTCAGCACATTTTCTAATAGTGACCTCACAGACGCCGTCTCTCAGAGCACATTTTCTAATAGTGACCTCACAGACGCCGTCTCTCAGAGCACATTTTCTAATAGTGACCTCACAGACGCCGTCTCTCAGAGCACATTTTCTAATAGTGACCTCACAGACGCCGTCTCTCAGAGCACATTTTCTAATAGTGACCTCACAGACGCCGTCTCTCAGAGCACATTTTCTAATAGTGACCTCACAGACGCCGTCTCTCAGAGCACATTTTCTAATAGTGACCTCACAGACGCCGTCTCTCAGAGCACATTTTCTAATAGTGACCTCACAGACGCCGTCTCTCAGAGCACATTTTCTAATAGTGACCTCACAGACGCCGTCTCTCAGAGCACATTTTCTAATAGTGACCTCACAGACGCCGTCTCTCAGAGCACATTTTCTAATAGTGACCTCACAGACGCCGTCTCTCAGAGCACATTTTCTAATAGTGACCTCACAGACGCCGTCTCTCAGAGCACATTTTCTAATAGTGACCTCACAGACGCCGTCTCTCAGAGCACATTTTCTAATAGTGACCTCACAGACGCCGTCTCTCAGAGCACATTTTCTAATAGTGACCTCACAGACGCCGTCTCTCAGAGCACATTTTCTAATAGTGACCTCACAGACGCCGTCTCTCAGAGCACATTTTCTAATAGTGACCTCACAGACGCCGTCTCTCAGAGCACATTTTCTAATAGTGACCTCACAGACGCCGTCTCTCAGAGCACATTTTCTAATAGTGACCTCACAGACGCCGTCTCTCAGAGCACATTTTCTAATAGTGACCTCACAGACGCCGTCTCTCAGAGCACATTTTCTAATAGTGACCTCACAGACGCCGTCTCTCAGAGCACATTTTCTAATAGTGACCTCACAGACGCCGTCTCTCAGAGCACATTTTCTAATAGTGACCTCACAGACGCCGTCTCTCAGAGCACATTTTCTAATAGTGACCTCACAGACGCCGTCTCTCAGAGCACATTTTCTAATAGTGACCTCACAGACGCTGTCTCTCAGCACATTTTCTAATAGTGACCTCGCAGATGCTGTCTCTCAGCGCATTTTCTAACGGTGACCTCACAGACGCTGTCTCTCAGAGCACATTTTCTAATGGTGACCTCACAGACACCGTCTCTCAGCACATTTTCTAAAGCCACTTTCTCTGCTTTCTTGAAAACACTGTGTATAGTTCACGTGGTACTTCGTGCTTCAAAGTGAAAGACTCATGTCCTCAACTATTTAGGTGAGAGGCGCGCATGCGCCAGGCGTGCGTGTGAGCGGTCTGCGTGCAAGTGCCTCCCAGTGAGGTGGGATCAGTCTGTGTGCAGGAGGACAGGAACGAGGTGGCGGACATGTCAGACCGTTCGAGGTCCCATTGGCCTGCTCCTGCTGTGTGCCCAGGGGTGCATAGCCATCAGTACATGCTGCCTCTGCATATCTGTGGTCTGTGCCTGAGGATCCGCATTCAGGATCACGGCCGTTGCTTTGCAGAACTTGATCTGAAGGCTGATGACCCAGAGTCAGCTGTGTGCTTGTATAAACTGTCCACTTGGAGAGGAGGGCTGGGCTGGCTGAAGTCCATCACTGCAGCGGGCCTTTGAAGGCTGTATTGGCTTCTGGTTCCGGCCTGAGCACTCTGCTTCTGGTTGGCTGTGCGGCGAAGAGCTGCCTCTGCACCTTGCCTTTCCCACCGTGAGACTGTGGAGAGCAAACACTGCTCCCTTAGTTCTCTGCCAGGTGTCGGTCACAGTGTGGAAGAGACAAATACACAAGGCTGGGACAGCTGCTGCTGCGGGTCAGTTTGCTTACAGATGGGTTTTCCATTGGTTTCAGACAGTTGGCTACTGGGTGTTGCCTGGGTCCAGCAGCTTCTTAATTTTGATCTTAGAAGAACATGGCAACGTGGCACAGTTGCTCAGAAGCATTTTCTCTTTCATGCGAGCTGTGGAATGTCCCGCCATCTTCCTGAGTGTACTTTACCTGTGAGGAGCCAGCATGACCCTCGGCCTTCATCCTGCTGTGAAGCATCTGTTGTCTCAGATGAGTGTGTGTGTGGTTTGTACCCTGCTGCCGGGAGGCCAGTCTCTCCATCCTTGTAGCTGGTGTCTCTGCTGATGCTGTGAAAGCATGTCAGTGAGGCTAGCCCTATGTCCACTTAAACCACCTCTGTCATTCCAGACGTGAGAGGGGCCTGTGGAGAAGGCTAGCTCTGTGTAGCTTCCCGTGCACAGCCCCACGCGACTGCTAGACAGGCCCGACCATGGGCCTACATGAGGCTGTCACTGTCTCCCCACAGGTGAATTCATAGCAGGTGTGGCATTTAAACCTGAAAAGTTGAACGTCACTCTCTTCTTAATAATATGTAACTAGTTGGATTTAAGGCAAGAATTGGTGTTTATTAACTCCTGAACCTTTGCTTGGAATTCTTTCCTTCTGTGGCTGTTATGAAGCCACCAGTCTGAGATCTTAGAAACATCCCATTATATGTAGCTTGCTCCAGACACGGCTGGTGAGAGGCCCTTGACTGTTGGAGTCAGGTCTGGGCTTTGCTCTGGGGTCATACGGGGCCTCAGCTTGGGAAGGGCTGCTGCGGGCTTGCTCTCTAGTGTGTGCTGCCGTGCTAAACTGGCTCTTCCTGAATGAAACGCTTCCATGGTTTGTCTTCTGGGTGATGTTCTGTTGGTGACAGGAGACTGGCTTCTCTGAAGTGTGCCACGGCAGCCCCCATAGTGTGCACGTTGGTCCTGTGCATCTGCTGGGCATCGTGTCTGTTCATGAAGAGAAGGGACGGCAGGGTGAGGTCATTGAGCCGCCGGCCTCAGCATGGTGCTATAGTTTGGACTGTGGGCTCACTCTACATCCATTACTCCTCTCTGTACCCACTTAAGCCCTAGGGGACCTTTTCTGGGTCACCCTCAAGACTGCAAGGCTCCCATCCCTCCTTCTCCTGCAAGTGTTGACTGAGAGCCCCACATCTACTCTCGTGGGTTCACTGAGGGTTTGATGAACACGCCCACACTCGGTCATGGTGATGTTCAGATTGGGTTGGGAAAGTGGTATTCACTGTGGAGGATGGAGGGCATCAGGCCAGGCCCACCTGTGTATATGGGGTGGCCTGCTCCCCAAGGTGCTGATTATGAGGGCAGGCAGGTGGCAGCAGACAGTCTTTTGAGTGTTGCCATGCCACCCCGGTGCAGCCGGGCTGTAGGCTTTGTAGCAACGCCCAGCCCTCATTCCCACACCAAGCTGGGCCGGGGTTTCAGGGAGCTGCCTGGGCTGGTTATAGTCACACTCCTTGTGTTTCTGCAGTGACTGTGCTTAGGACTGCATCCATCCACGCAAGGCTGTGTGAACCCCTCCAGGAAGGCCATGGCCTTAGACCTGGGCCAGCAGCACTCAGTCTGCTACAGTGGTGACATGTCACCCTTCCTGGCCTTGATGTGCTTTGCACTCTCCTTGCTGAAAGACTGGACAGTGAGGCGTCCAGGGCCAGCTGTCCAGGTCAGCCAGGACAGAAGACATGAAGGGGCATGCTTGGGTTAGCCAGGACAGAAGACATGAAGGGGCATGCTTGGGTTAGCCTGACCCAGAGGGTGTTTAGGAACCCTCCTGCCTGTTTCTCAGTTTATCCCTTCATCTAGGTGTGGTGCGGAGCTGCTGCAGGGAGCTGGGTAGCGTCTGTGCTGCGTCCTTGGCCAGCAGCCTCCATTGCTCATAGGGCGAAGGGCTGGCTCCAGTGGCCTGCCGAGGGCCCTGGTGCTGTGGGCTGCTGGGAGTTCACAGGCTTCAGCTCTCTGATAAATTGTGCTCATTGTGAAGGTCAGTGTGCAGCCTGACTGAAGTGTCTGGAACTGGCTGTGGTTTTTCCTGACCAGCACATGAACATTCTGCCCTTGATAGGCTGCGGAAGTGAGTCCAAGACTGTCTGACCCTAGTGTACTCGAGACTTGGAGGTGTGGGAGTGAACAATCCTAACACTTTGCTGGCCCATACCCACTGGGGACCTGCATCTGTGTGAGTCTCCCGTTGGAGGGGTCAGCGTGTGTGGCCGCACGTTTCATCTTGGTCCTCGTGCTCCTTTTAACTGTGAGCTAGAGCTTGCCTTTTTGTGCAGAAAGAAAATACCTCAGCAGAGCGTCCTCAGTGATGAGGACGTTGGCCCTGTCTCCCTGCCATGCTCATCTGCAGGGCCGTGTCCAGGTCACATTTGAGTCCGCCTCTGCCCTGGAGCCAGTCAGATGTGCTCCCTCTTCCTTTGGCACTGCACTTTGTGACACCGCTGTTTTTACCAAATTTGATCTTTTGCTCCCAGGAATGCCTGCTGTATGCAGCCCTGGCATGGTGCCTGTGGCCATGCCCCAACCAGCTGTGACCGCTCAGCCCCGCTGTAATGAGGAGGACCTCAAAGCTATCCAGGACATGTTCCCCAACATGGACAGAGAAGTGATCCGCTCTGTGCTCGAAGCCCAGAGAGGAAGCAAGGACGCCGCCATCAATTCCCTGCTGCAGATGGGCGAAGAGTCCTAGACCTGCTTTTAGCGGTGCCTGTGGCCATGCCCCCACCAGCTGTGACCGCTCAGCCCCGCTGTAAGGAGGAGGACCTCAAGGCTATCCCGGACATGTTCCCCAACATGGACAGAGAAGTGATCCGCTCTGTGCTCAAAGCCCAGAGAGGGAACAAGGATGCCACCATCAATTCCCTGCTGCAGATGGGCGAAGAGTCCTAGACCTGCTTTTAGCTCTGGGCCTCATACCACTGGCCCTTGGACTTGCCCACTCAGGGCTCCCCAGGGTCACCGTCCCCACAAGATTCCAATGAAAGACCATCCATGTACCCTTTCCGTGGACATCTCTGCCGCCTCTTCCCCCCGTTCCAGGGATGCATGTGGGTTTTCTGTTCAGGGTAGCCAGTCCTCTTCACCCTCGTGGGGGCGGGGTGTGGCTCCCTCCTTGTCCTGGTTGGGCAGTGGCCCTGTTGGTACACAGACCAACAATCCTGTTGTTTGGAGACCTGAGTCTCCTTCCTTCACATTGTTCTGGAAAAGCATTCTTTAAAAAGTAGCTGCCTCTGCCAGGGGGTTAGAAATTGTGCCACGTCCTCCTGAGTCGATGAATGGCATGGGGTTATCCAACCTAACCTAGACAGCATGCTGGTTGACGACACAAGATAATGTGCACTGACTTGCGGGTTATGTTTAAAATGTCCAAGCTAAAAGTACCTTCCTTCCCCTGATGTTGTTTGAACCTGGGCCACTGAGCTATGCTTCTCAGCCATAGCTAGCAGGCCTGACCTTGCCTAGCTTACCTGCCACTGTCTGGCTAGGTCTCAGCCACAGACACCCACGTGAATCTAGAATGTGTCCAGACATGGCGCATGGCCAGCCGGGCTCTGCCTTGGCCCTCACTTCCGGAGGCTACTCTTTATCTCCTGATGTTTTGTATCAGCACTGTGGGAGTTAACCACAGGGCCTTGTTCTAGGCCCTCTCCACGGAGCCTGGAGTCACAGGTGAAGGAGACAGGTAACAGCACTGTGATTACTAAAAGGCGTTCAGGTGTTGTGACACTACTGACCTACAGCAGATGCTATGATGTGTGCTGCACAGTGTGAATGCCAGAAACCCAGTGTGTGTGAGCAGCTTCAGACCTTACAGAGGCCAGAGGTGCCTGCACCTGACTGGTTGTTTTGTTACATTGGACCCATGACCTCGCTGTAGATCTGTCAGAGTGGGTGACACCTCGTTACGATATTCGAGTGATGACTTTAGATAACACGCTATCAAAAGGCTGCGTGCGTTGCTCGTGGTGTCAGAGCTCCACACCAAATTTCAGTTGCTCCTTGCTCTTCTAGTGTTTGCACCCGGCCTTTGGGTACGATCCACCGACACCATGAAGGGAAGTCTGTGAACTTTGGACTTCCGTGAAAGACTTGGAATGAGAAAGTTGGTGCTTCAAAGTTTGGTCCCACCCAGAAGTACAGGGTAAATTTAGTGTCGACTAGAAAGTACTGCTTTCTGCCATCTGTGGCGCTGATTTTTTGTCAAATAGTGTTCGTAAATATTTATTTTTGTAAGCCTGAAGGCAGTATGCTATGATGGTGGCATGGGGTGGTGGTATTAAGCACTTTCTGTAGTTGTGGGTCCTTAAACCCCTAAGCAGCTGCCATGGCACTCAAATGAGGGAGAGTGATGGTTTTTTTAAACCTTTTTAATTGCATAATGGAGAAGAAAGACCAATGTTTGATAGATGTGACCACTCTAACACAGCTAGGCACTGGAAGTCTCCATTGTCGTGTGGCCTTGTGCCTAGGGAGCAGACGGCCCTCCCGTGGATGAGTCAAACATGATAGGACCTTCCCAGCCGGTTCACTTAGTGCCATCAGCAGACTCAGTGCTACAGAGTGTGGACCTCAGCACCGGCCTCTAGGCCTGAGTGCAGATTCTGGAGGAAGTGTCCCCATTTGCTTATTGCCCCTAAGCAGCTGCCATGGCACTCAAATGAGGGAGAGTGATGGTTTTTAGAGTGAAGACTTGATCTTGACACAGACCCTTCCCTTTCTCATGAACATTTTATTTTTTTAATAGATGGAAGAAAGATCCCATTTATAGTCCAGTGATACCTCCCCTCCTTGGTTCTGTGCTGTTTCGTGTTGGAGGTTGGTTGTGTTGGAGCCTGTCAGTACACGGGACGAGGCCGTGCTTGTCGGCACCTGCCCAGGAGCCTGGGCACCAAGCGTGGCTTGACCCTCATCCTATCCTGGGTCCTGTTGTCTTTTGGGGGTAAAAAGTCATACTTGGAACGAATGGCTTGTCTGAGCTCAAAGGTAGAGGCTCATCGTCTGTAGACAGACCTCTGGCCGGGGGCCCTCACTGGGTGGTGTCGCCACACCTGCCAAGTTTGAAGCCACACAGGCACTCGCTGAAGTGTGGGAGGGTTGGGCGTGGCCAGGGCTGTGTTCTTGGGGGTGCTGGTCGTCTGTGGGCTGACGTGGCCACTGGCTTTTTTCCCACCACTGAGTGATGCCTGTGCAATGGAGAGAAGTGTGGTGACTGGGTTCTACCCTCTCCTCCCAGGCCGCTCCTACGGGCACTCTGTGGGCTGATGGGCACTGTCTGGAGGTCAGTGGGAATGTTCTCAGAACTCATGTCTGTGGTTATCTTAGGAGAGGGGTCGATGTCCAGATTTTTCTTTGACTATGATATATTTTTACTTTACAGCCTTCTAATTTAATAAGTGGTCCATATAAAATAGAGAAATAAAGTCTTCTAAGGAATGTTTACCATTTTTGTTCCTGAGTGGTTTTTTTCTTGAATATTTTTATTTTTGTGTATGAATGTATTGCTTGCATGTGTGTAAGTTACATGCACCACCATGTCCTCAGTGACTGAGGAGGTCAGAAGGGTATCGGATTCCCCTGGAACTGGAGTTATGGACGGTTGTTAGCTGCCATATGGGTGCTGGGAACTGAACTTGGGTCCTCTGCAAGAGAGCCAGTACTCTTAACCACTGAGCCATTTCTCCAGACCCCCCTGAGTGTATTTTTAATGGCGCTCATGATAAAGCAGCGCAGGGAACCAGTTAGAACCTGAGCTCCCTCTTTCATACCTGTCAGCCGTTACACAGGAGCAGCACTGAAGGAGGCTGGGAAGGCGAGCCTCCTGGAGACTCAGCCTGGCCACTTCAGTGAGAAGCAGGGCTGCAGGGGTCGCTGCAGGCTCGTGCTGTGCTGCTGGCTCCTCTGTGACTGCACTCTACTTTTAGCCTCTCTTTTCCAGGCATTTCTGGGTGCACAGGTCTTGGTAGAGGACCCGTTGTATCTCCTCATACAGTCATCAGACCCTGAGCGGTGATTGTCTCGAATGTACAGAGCAAGCTGCTGCCTAAACATACAGAGCAAGCTGCTGCCTAAACGTGGCAGGCGCTCTGGGAACAGCTTCCTCGCCCACTCCTCGTGCTCGGCCAGGTCGGGAGGTGTTCGTGGCCCGCGTGGCCTTGTTGCTTGATTGCTTTCACTGTAGCTGTGTTACGTGCTGAGGCAGCAGCTGGCCTGGCTCTCCTTGAAGCAGGAGGGTGGAAGGGGAGGCTGCCGTGAGCATAACTGTCATCGGCTGTGGGGCTCCTACCTCGTCCTGAAAGCAAACTGATCGCCAGGCAGGAGTCTGCGGTGCCACGAATGTTTCGTGTTCCGAACGCCAGGCAGAAGTGCACTCACGCTGGACACCATGTTGGCAGGAACACTGGTTCTCACAAGCTCTTAGATGACAAATTGCAGATTTCCTTAAGTGCAGAGCTGAGTTCCTCAGGAAGTGAGGGATATTGGGTGGGCGGAGGGGGATTTCAACAGCCAAGAGAGGGTTTGGCCTCTGGTCCCTGCCTGTGTCTTCCAGATGAGGCCTACTGCTGGGCACAGCAAGGCACTCCATGGTGTGCAGGGAGGAACAAAGGTCAGAAGCCCTGGGGGTGGGGCATTCAGTTGCAGTCCTGCAGCCAGGACAGGGCCTTGGCTCAAGAATTGGATTGTTGTCAAGCTAGGAGGTTGGAAAGGTGAGGAAAAGCCACCTGCTCACAGGCAGGACCGAGAGGGAGGAACACGTGGTTCAGGAAAGTGTCCCAGGCCTATGGGAACAGAAGAGCGTTCTTCCTAGGGGAGCAGGTGGCTGATGCGGCTTCCCAGCACCGTGAACTGACTGCGGTTGCCCAGGAAAATCAGGAACACCGAGTTGCCTCAGCTAGTTTGGAAGAATTCTTGCCGAAGGATGTGTGCTGAGGTTTTTTAAGTTTGTCTTTTGGAGGGGGGTCTTTTTGAGACAGAGTCTCCCTGTAGCCCCAGCTGGCCTGGAGCTCACTATGTAGACCAGGCTGGCCTCGATCTTACAGAGATCTGCCCGCCTCTGCCTCTGCCTCCCACGTGCTAGGATCAAAGAGGTGCAGCACCATGCCCAGTGATTTTTAAAGGTTTTAAAGCAGAATACAATACAGCTCAAGCCAAGACCAAGACACCATAAAAACCCAGCTATGGAAAGAAAAGCAAACGTTGAGAGGTAAAAAGTGGGCAGTAGGATGCACGTCTTCAGACAAGTTCATTTATGGAGGTTGGCTGAGATAGACCCTCCCAGAGGAGGGGCCACAGGGAGCTTAGAAGCCAGTAGAGGAAACCAGGCGCCTCACAGAGGTGGTGGTGGGGGGCAGCTGAGAACATGTTAGGACTGACAAGATTACAGAGAAGGCCAGAGGACAAACGACAAACTGCATAAGACCATCTTTATGTTTGTCAGGCCTCAGTCATGTGGGAAATGGGGATCACTGGAGGAAAAGGAGGTTCTCCTGTTTGAAGAAGAGGAGGCGGCTGTCCTGTGTACGAGAGTCAACAGAGCAGCTGCGGAAGTGGCAGGGTCCCTGCATCACCTTTCAGGGCTCCACAGTGGTTCTGATGGGTGTCCACACCCTCAGGCCTGTTATGGTTGGAGGGAGCAGGCTCAGCCTCTGCCACCATGTGCAGTCTGGGTTGTGCAGGGTTAGGAAGACAAATTA